ATAGATATCATAATGCTTATATTCATGAAATAAGGCCTATATAATATGGTGTTATTCATTTAAATTTAAAATTAATTAATTTATAATTTTTACATTTAGATTAAAATATATAATCAGGTGTCCTTCCTTTTAATTTGTTTCCTGTCTTCCTTCTAAACTTGTAAGAATTTGAGATAAGAGTTAAGAAAAAAATAGGCTTTTATTAACAAATTAAGAATTTTTTTCTTAATTTTTCCTCCACTCTGAGACTTTTTGTGTACAGAGTGTATCTGTTCTTTGACAATTTTGACCTGTTAAACACTGGAAAAATATATCAATCATTTATCTGTCTACTTTCCAAAGTAAATTGGTTATATTTCTATTTATCCATATTTCTCATTTAATGAATGTTTACTTGTCTAGTGTAATAGTCAAAATTTGCACCATAATCAATTGTGGGAGTTGGTAATGCTGGCATATTTGTGTGTGATGCTTGGCTAGAGGTCAACAGGGAAAGCTGTCAAGAAGAGAAGATGGAGGTAAAGTGGGTAGAGCAAGAAACAAGCTGGAACCTGCAAATTCAAGCCTGTATCCCAGAGGATTGACCGAAATTTGTATTGGTTCTTGCTGCCTCTCACCTTTGTGGAATAGGTGTCCTGCAGAAGCAAGAACTCTTCATCACAGAGCTACACACACACACACATCCCTGGCCCAGGAGTCAAACTCAGAGCTGTTGCTGGGCTGGTATGGCACAGCCATGGCAACAAGGTGAAAGACCAAATCAGTGATAATGAATGTCAACAAAGAATGGCTGTGGCTACACTTTCAGGCTCCAAATCTCCTAAAAGATTATTTTCACCCAAAGTAGCTGAAAATATACGTCAGTTATCCCGTCGGTAGGAGGGGAACTGAGATATCACACATACTTGCACTAGTGCAAACGGAGAAGACAAGACTGACATGTGTAAGTCATGAGGACTGCAGCAGGGAGGGAAAATCTACCGACAGAGAACCCAGTGCCTTAGAATTACATTCCCCTTTTCTGCCCCAACCGCCTCCTTCCTTTCTCTTCCATATTTCACCCTCATTCAAGCCCAGCAGAGCCACACTGCTCTTTCTGCAGTTACTCTCCAACTGGACAATTTGTCCCGCTATCCTTCTTCTGGAAACATTCTTATCCCGGATATTTCAACATTCCCTCCGCATCTCCTTTGGGCCTTTTCAATGAGGCCTGACTGATATCCCAGCTGCAAGTGAAACTCCTCTATGTCAGCATTTCCTAAACTTCATTCATAATACACTGTTTCTTCATAACATTGATCTAACATACTATATATTTTATTTATCTAGTGTCTGTATCCACCCATTATATAGTAAAATCAATGATATTAATGTTTTTGTTTGATTTTATTCACCTCTCTACCCTAATTTCTACAAGATATTCTGGCACATAGTATTGGGACAATATTTTTTAATGGAATGACCATATGGCTGGATTTATACAAACTATAATTTCCTAACACCAGGACTCTCTCATAAGTTTTACTTTAGTAAATAATTATTTTCTATGAAAAAAAGGATTGTGAATACATTGTTCTAGCCCCTTTATTTGTATGAGTAATGTTACTAAAGCAAATTATAACCAGATTTACTTATATACTTGAGGCTATAAGTATAGGGGTTTGTGTGTGTGTGTATGTAACAAAATTAATATTCTGAGGATTTAAATATAATTATGGTCTATATTTATTTTGACAAGATTTTCTAAAAGTGTTCTATAACTGGAAAGTGGATTTTCTGCACACAGGAATAGTTGCAGTTTCCTTATTACATTTTTATTTAATTAATTATAGCTATCTTCTTACTATCCGTAACACAAATATTTATTTATACTACAATTTATTCTCACTTTAACATGAGGATATTTTTGTGCAGAAGTACAGCACTATATAACCAATAACATAGTACTTACTCTTAATTCTTCATTACACAATCAACAGAAAAGTTAACTATGTGATATTCTGCATGACAGAATAAAAACAAATCAACCTCATCGGTAGATAGCCCTGTATTGCCTAATTTTCTCTCTAAATGAATTACTGTCGATGCACACCTGTCTTAATTTGAGCACTTTGCTGAAAATGTGTGTGTGTGTGTGTGTGTGTGTGTGTGTGTGTTGTTCAGGTATGTTATAAAGTCCAGGATTATCTGACACCTGTACTAGTTACTTAAACTCATATTTCACCGTGTATGTATTCTATCTTTTGCCCTTGAATGAATTCTTGAGAATTTTGTATTTTTATTCTTTAGATGTAATCCTGATTCTAAGATGGGATATAAAATATTTTTGAAGAGATATTGTACATGGGTCTATCTTTCTATAATAGGAATATGGAATAGTTAGATGAATATAATAAATATGTTACTTTCTTTGTGCCCAAACTGGCTACTATTAATCAAAATATGTTAAAAGATATGACCAAATTTGCTTTTATCCAAGATAGCTTTCAGTGGGGAATAGAGAAAATCCTATTGCTTAACTCAGCTACATAAAAAAAGTGGCAAGAACTAGAGCAGTTATATGATCTCATCCCTTTGTACAGTATTCCATTAACATTTTATTGTTTTAAACAATATCTTACTTCCATCCTCAAGCTAGCTTTTCTCATTTTATTATGAAGGAAAAAAATACCTAGCTAGCAACACTGGAAAGAAAAGTTATTAACTGAGAATGTAATAGGGCATCTTTCTGTATTTCCTACAGAGACATGTACAATGAAAACAAAATCAATTGTGAGATATTGAAGCATTGTTCTACAACTCCATAATTTCTGCAGATTTGTTGTTTATTTGTGTTCAGCAGCAAAGTCAGTAATGTGTCCTCTAAGAAACAAGCGTGCCTGGGCTGTAATTAGACTTGAATAAGTTAGGTTCTTGGAATGAGAGTTATCCAAAGAAAAATTGATGGAAATCAACTTCAAAAAGGAAGAAAATATGTTTTAAAAAGGAATTAGGGGAGTAGTGTTTTATTCCAATAAATTAATATAACCTACCAGGAAGAAAAAAAAAGGAAACAGTATCAAAGATAAGCAGAATATATTAATGGAATCTGAAAAATAAGTTGATTCAGGACTGTTGCTTTTTACTTTGAGAAAATAAAGGTTAGTATGGAGAAAGTAAGATAAGGCCAACAACTTCCCAGTAGTATGAATCCAAGTTACCTGTTTTCCCCAAAAATAAAGATATTTTTCTCCAAATAAATAGTTATTTATATGCATTCATTTATGCATGCACCCAGAAAACATTTTCTGCTTGTTAACTGTATGACAGGTGCTGGATTATGTGCTGTGATAATAATAAGAAATAAGATGGATGCACTACCTCTGAGGAGAGGGATGGGGAAAGGGATAGAGAGAGCACATGAACAAATGAAGTAGAACACTTTCTATATGTTAAATACCATGTACAGGACATGGGGAGGCAATGAGTCCATAGGGAACGGGATTCATTTACTCAGGGATTAGGCATCACAGGTGAAAAACTGATTTGATTCTTAAAAGACTGCAGAGTGATTAAGAAGTTGAAAGTTTGGGCTGCACCATGAAAGATGTGATATGTATTTCAGGCAAAATAGAGAATCAGGAGAATAGTTGAACAAAACCTTTTCTCATTTGCTGAAATGTAAAATTACCTGTACATGTGTATTATATATATAACTTTATACCAGTGTAATACTGATATTGATATACTGATATGTATTTATATCAGTGTATATATTGACAACTATAACATAGGGTATTAATAAAAAAACTCAGAGATACCTGGGGAGACATTGGAAGTAAAGAATTAGCATTTCAAGCAGGGTTACAAGCCTTTTCTGTAAAGGTCCAGATGTATAAGATTTGTATGCCCTGTAGTCTCTGTCAGCCCAACTCTGCCATTGTAAGAGCTAAACTAGCTATATATGATATAAAAATGAATGGTGTGGCAGTATTCCAATACAACTTTACATAAACAGGTGGAACCTGAATTTGGCCCACAGGTCATAGTTTTCCAATGCCTGATTTAGAGTATGAAGAGGCTGTGAAGCCATTTTTAGCAAGGGAATGAAATGATCATATTCGTGTTAGAAGAAAATCATTCTGGTACAGGCGAAAAATATTTATGAGTGATGTGAGAATGCAGACATGTACAACACTTGGGAGGCGAAACAATAGCTCAGGACAAAGTAGTTGCCTGAAATAAGATAGGAGCACAGGATATGGACAAGATCAGATATGCAAGGTGAAAGGACATAAAAATCTACAGGTGTTGATGTCGGGTAGAGACTGAGATAAGGAGAGTAAGAAATACAGAAAGCTCCAAGGTTTATGACTTGGAAAAGGATACTGCCGTTCACAGAGAAAAAGAAGAAAGAAGAAAGAATACTTTGAAGAATAAGTTCACATCCATGCTAAGAGAGGTGGTGGTGTGAAAATGATTATATACATACAAATTTTTTTTATATATATTTTGATGAAGCTGTATGGTGGTCCTTGGGACCTTGAAGAGAGGTTCTGGACTGAATATAGCACTCTAAGTGTCATTAGCCTGCAGGTAGTATTCGTTAGTATTTGAAGTAATTTTCAGATGATTTGAAAAATGTAAGAGTGAAAAGAGAAGGCCAAGGAGAGAACCTTAGGCAAAACTACTCTAGAGGATGATAAAGACATCACAGGAAGCCAGAAGTAGGAAGAAAATGGGGACTCCAAGTGCCTTTTTGCAATATAGAATTAACTATCAGTCATAGAGAAGCAGTATTAATTCAAGGGAATGCTTAGATTATGGTGCATAGTTTTTTCTAAAATATAGCATCATCGCTCTTTTTCTGATCATAAAATCCTTAAAGAATTTCCTTCTAAATAACAAATTTTTAAACAGTCTATGAAAAAATTTTGGTCTGTTATCTCAATGTTTTTCTAAGTGCTATATTATTTTTAGAATATATATATATATATTTTTTTGTGAAGCCTGCTTAAAGCTCACTTTATTCGTTGGTGAAGAAGATACAGAATATTCCAAAGACTCCCCAGTGTTCTGTTTTCTGAATTTAGTCTGTGACGTCCAAATCTCAGAATTGACTGTACTGTCTGCATGGGATAGGTGACTATGGTCGCAATTGCCTTGGCTACTGCACCAATGATGAACACATCCAGAGAAGAAAACCTCATTTGTTTCTTTAAAAGCTGCCGTTTAAACCTTCACAGAACATGAATTGGATGGCAGGATTGAAGACCAACAGCAAGGAAGGAAACATGCCATTCCATAAAGCCAAGATTCCTTCATCTCGAATGATCTGGTGAAAAGCATAAACAATTCCTTTGTAGTTGGTTGGTACAATGTCTTCATTCCTAAATTTTTCCCCCTGCAGCTTCAGTCTGATGTTTACCACCCAGAGTGGAGTTGTCAGCAACACATTCACCACTCCTGCAACAAATCCAACTACCAGATCTTTCCCAGTAGTAGAACGTTGACCTTTAACCCAGACTGCTTTGAGGCTATTAATAGTGTAGAATATTGGTTGAGATGCACTGAAAATAATTATTGTACTATCATTATAAAAAGTTTTAAACAATGTATAACAAAAAAGCATCATAAATTGAAATACTATTATATGAACATACATTACTTAACTTCAGCACTGACTTAATTATCTTTTTGGCTCTTAAGGACAGTAAAAAAAAATAGAATAAAGTGGCAGTGAAAAATGAATTAAGAGGGAGAGATAGGAGAAATGAAGGGAATGTAGTAGTAGCCTACCACATTCCCACTGCCACACAAAACCAGAAAATATACCCAACTTCCTCAGTATTACTTTTTAAGTGAATAAATTTGCATATTATAGGAACCATCAATAAATCTAATGCTTTTCCAACATAATTTTTACATACTTTGTTCTCTGCCGTATCACTAATAAATGTATTCTTTCATATATTTTTTGTGACTAAGCATTGAAATATGCACTTCTTTGTGGAAAAAAATAAGCAAGGATCAAAACTTTCTTAATAGAATTTCAATTGTACATTTTAATATTCTTGCTTTATTCTTTAATCAGTTAAAGAGAATTCTAGAATACCAATCTCTGTCAAATAACATAACTTTGAATTATAAGTTCTATGAAAACCTAATTTGAAAGATGATTAGAAACATATTCTGGAGACAACTACATTTAGTACTCACTATATTGTTCCTAGCAGTTGTATATCAGTAGTAGATCAACTTTGAGCAAAGCAAAGAGTGACTATTAATAAAAAATGTTTTAACATAAGACACAGATTCTGAATATTGTTTATGCATTTATGACAAAAATATTTTGGATACTCTGTATTGCTGTGGCCAGTATCTCTTAAATAAGGCCTATTATTGAAGCACTGTTATTAAATTTGCACTCTGTTGGTTGTCATTTATGAGATTAAATAAACTAGTCTTAAATTCAAAGGGAATAATAGGGATCCTAGAATAGAGAGCACCTGGAAAACATATTTCTTAAAAGCATAGTGTGCAGGAATTATGACAATATACAATAGAACCTCTGCAAATAAGTCAATGTGTAATCTGCATAGGAAAAGACAAATACATTAGAGGGACAAAGGAAACTATGCAAACAATATGAATAAAATTGAAAAAGTGTGAAAAATTGTATGCTAAAGTTAATATTATTTCAGTGGGAAATCATCTAGTCATAGAATAAATAGATTCTAAACAAAACAAGAATATCAGACATATCATTTTATACAACCCAAATTCCCCAGATTAGACATACCTTAGTGTGGGGACAGTGTGGTGCTCATGTACATGATCTATTACAGCCATTTGGAAAACTAGCAATTACTTTTATTTTTTAACTAATGTTATATTACATAAACTCTTTGAGTCAGCTATTCAACATCTGGGGATCGTTTCCAATGCATTAAATATATTACATATCGAATCCTCTATATGAATAGATACATTTATTTATTTGTTGATTATATATTAACAATATATAGTTATACTGTTAATATATAATTATATATACACATTAACACATATTTTAAAATATGATGTATAATTTATATACATTAACATATATATATAATGTCCAAGAATACATTGTAAGAAAATTACAGAAACAAAGCAGATGACCATCATTAAGAAAAGTTAAAAATTATAGTAAAACCATACTATGCAATGTTTATATTTTATTTAAAACAAAAGTAGGTTTATACCAGTGATTTAGAGGGTTTTCCATGATTAATGGTCTTATACGTTATATAACCCAATTTTTATAGAGTCAACATTGATCTTAAATTCTCCTATATTTTTCATATATACAAGTTAAGGAAATATACAAGAACACATCTTCATTAATTAATGCAGGTTAACTGTTGGTAGACGCTGTGAAGAGGAGGAGAGGAGCATAGTTAGACTGATAAAAAAAGAAAAAATGGGACACAAAAAAACATATGGCTGTGTCACATTGCATTATTTATGTAAAGGTTAGTTATATGTGTGAAAATATTTTTGTGAAGAAAATTTAAGGATGATAAAAATTAAGTTTTTCCATGAATAATTGGAATTCTTCTCTCTGATAATGAGCAATGTAACTGATCTGCCAGATTTTTTATTTCATCTAAGATTCAGGAAACTCAGAGTCAAACTGAATACTAAATTGTAGTAAATAAATTAACTTTAACAGTTACTATTTTGGTCCTTTTTTAAATGTTACTAGTTTTCTTTTTGTATATATATATATAATATTAATATATATGTTAGGTGAATATATATACACACACACATATGTATATATACACATATACATGCATTTTCTATAGACACTTCTAAAAATATATTCCTCTATATATCCCTCATTTTAATTAAATAAGGTGTTAAAATGACTGAGGAAAGTTATAATAGTAGGATTAAACATCTCAAAGATTGAGAATAGTACCAAAGTCAGCTACCATTTTTCAAGAAGAACAAGTAAGAGATTACTTTTGATTCTACCAAAGATTATTAAAAAACAAAACTATAATTTCTAGGAACCATAAAGCATAGTAAATAAGAGTTGTCACTAAAGACAGTGGACTTTGTCAGATTTGATATATGTTTCCATTATTAGTTTTCTACCTCTGAAAATTAAATCTTTTAATAGATTTTATAGGAGGACAATATTGTACATCAATGCTTAACTTCTGTCTAAATACATTTATAACAACCATAGAAAAACATTAGAAGGAAAAATATGAAGTTTGGAAATACAAGAATATATGGATAAATCTTACAATAAATTTTCAATATTTGGCAATGACATCTGGAAATCTGGTAAACTCTTCTAACCCTCTCATTCCCTATAAAAACATCTTTTGAATACACAAATGTTATAGTATGTGTTAATTTTATATAAAAACAATAAAACATGTACCTGTATATGTACCGTGAAACACAAGAAATAAGTTTGTTGTGCATTGAAGTCCTTTATGTGACTTTTTTCCAATCCCATTTCCTCCCTCAGTTCAGTTACAATCCCCATTCTATGTTAACCACTCCCTTCCTTTATTATGTAGTTTCAGAATATATGGATACATTCCTTTTTTCTTCTTTCTTTTTTGGCTTTGAATATTTGGAATTACATCATATTTTACTTATTGCACAAGTTTTTTTCCTTGACTCAAAATTCTGTTTATGCTTTATGCTTTCAGTTTTCTTTCTATTTTAATAAGTTTATTTTAGTTTGCTGTCATTTTGCTTACTTTTCCTACTTTCCTAATTTAGGAATTACACAATTTTTATATTATTTAAAGGGGCTACAAGAACATTTTAACATGCATAATTTATAAGTTCTAAATTTATTAAGCTATTTTAATATTCTCTTAAATAAAAAAATCAAGAATTTAAGAATACTTTAAATCAAATCAGTACTTTAAATCAAATTATGCTATTGTTGTCCTAGGTATTCAATTTATTTCACTTTGTTTAATCCCTCCAAATATAATAATATTGTTTTATTATAATTTTACCTAATTTATTTATTATTATTTATTATTATTTTACCTAGTTATTAATGTATTGCTTAACTTTTCTTCTTGCCTCCTCAGTAATCCTCTGGGGTCATTTCTTTGCCTGAGGCATGTCCATAGATTTTTTTTTTCTTTCTTGAGATTCTGTTAGTTGCAAACCCTTAATCTCTTATTTATATAAGCATGTTTTTATTTTTATGAAAGACGCATTTTTAGATTTAGAGTACTATGTCCTGAAATATTCATCAGAATTATTATTGTAACATATTTTAGTTTCCACTACGGCTGTAGGAAATTCATCTAAAATTATTCTGTTGAAATAGATTTATCTGTTTTCTCTGACTACTATTAAGATCTTCTGTGTTGCTTTGCTGTTGTACTTTGGTGTATATAGGCTTAGATTTTTTATTTATCACATTTGGGACTTACTGAGATTCTAGAATTTGGATATATTGTCTTTCAAGAATTTTGAAATGTCAAACATTTTTACTTTGAATTTTGATTCTGCACCATTTTCCTCTGCTTTCTTCTGGTACTCTTAATAACCAAAGGTGAAGTTTTCAGGTTCTTCCATGCTTCTCAATGCCTTTATAATCACCACTGTAATGTCTTAAGATTTTTCTTAAAGTTCACTCATTTTTTTTTCAGATGCATCTAATTAACTGCCTGGTTGTCCATTTAATTATGTGCAGTGTTTTATTTCCTCCTTCAATTTCTTTGATTGTTTTTCAAATATGCTTGACTACTTTTTAAAGTATCTTATTCCTTACTCATATTCAATCAGCTGTTTTATTATGTAATTATATATATTTATGTGATACGTTTGCTCTTAATATCATTACCTATATTCATTTGAGTGTGATTATGAGATAGAGCAGGGAAATGGGACAAGGGTCATGACATTGTGAAATCTATTTAGCCTGAGAAAAATGTCGTTTATTCTTTAACTTAATCAATATGCTGTTCTTCCTCTTCTTCCAGCCCCTTAATCAATTAAGTAAATTTGTAACCAGGGTGATAGACAGACCCCTGGAGTGTAAATTACCCTACATGGGTAAAGAATGCTGAAATCTGGGTTAATACAGTAACCTAAATAACCTTATTCCTCATATAAAATTTCAAAGGAATTATGAATCACATATACATCATGCCTTATACCAACCCCTACCCAAAGGCACTATAAAACTCCAAACCCTTAACCCTTAAATTCACCTCCTGTGAGGTTGCCTGCACTCCTGTCTTGAGTGTGTACTGTTTTATCAAATAAACTTTCTTGTGGCATAAGTCTATTTCACTTAATCTCGGAACTCTTTTTCATGAAAAAGACAAGAACTCACTGACTTCCACCTCTGGTGGAAAGTATCTTTGTCACTTTGTTATTTCATTCAGTTTTGTAGTCTTAATGCAATCCTCTTCTCTTTCCCTGTTCTATTCTAGATTAATAGGGAAGAGAAAGATCTCAGAACATAAACTCACTCCATCCAGTACTCTGCATGTCCCCCAAATTCTGGGGTGGAAAGAATACTGTTCCTGTGCCATGCAGATCAAGCAGACATTGGACAGGAAGAGATCCTGGCTTTAGGGGTTGGCAAGGCATTTGGCCTATATTGAGCAGGGTTTCAGTGAACTTCCCTTTCCGTGTGTGTGTGTGTGTGTGTGTGTGTGTGTGTGTGTGTGTTCCTTTCTCTCTGATATTTGCTTCTAATCCCGTTTATGAATTCCTTTCTTGCTGGCACTTGTTTAACCTGATCAAGAATTATTTCCATATCAGAATCAACAGCTCTACCCATCTGGGTTGAGATGTGCAGGGAGAGACCTCCCCAGGTGCGGCTGCCCTGCAACAATTATACTCCCTCTTTTATCCTTTTGGCTCTTCCTCATGATGCCTTTGTTCCTTGCATATGTAATAATCTTTGTGAACTTTTGTTCCTTGGAAACTTTTTAATAATAATTTTTGAGGTCTGGTTTTGAAGGTTGTGCTCCTTCCCAATGTAATTTATATTTATGTTCCCTATTTCCTAGTGATACCATATGCCTACACCCACACTACAAAAAAAAAAAGTATTCCCTAGAGTTTTTGGAACACTTAAGGACTATGAACTTTGATGTCATGTCCATGTGAATATTTTTGTTCTGAATTCTTAAGGAAGTTAATTTTCCCTGGCACAAATGTAAGGTTTGAACAAACCTTTTTTCTTGCTATCCTTTTTTGTGGCGTGGATTATTTCTAGTTCACACTTCTAAGAGAAGAGCCATTAGTTTTCTCAGCTTTATTTGTTGAGTCTTCTATCAGATTCACTACAAAATCAGATTCTAGACTTTGTCTTTTACTTCATGGTAGCAAAATTTGAAGGTCAAATTCAACAGAATTTGGCAGATGACCCTTCTTGACTCTCTGGATTCAATTACTTTGTCTTTAGCCTCTAAGAATTATTTTATTAATATGTATTTTCCATCTTACTGATACATTTCATGGGACATTTTAATTTTTATGTAGTTTCCAGGCATTTTTTCAGTTTTATTTTTTTATTGCTACAGTATTCTTCAGGTATATTCTTTAACAGCCATCTTAATTAATCTTCATTTCCATTACTACTGTATTTGAAGATTATATTTTCATTATCTCATATTTGTATGTTCATAGAAATAATCTGATTAAATCATTCCAAAATATCACTTCCAAAATTGCCTTTTCTTTGATCTATACCTTAAATGAGTTCCTGTAATTACAACTTCATATTGATATTATTCAAACTTCTGAACAAACTTACTTTCTGTCAGGTATTGAATTGCTGTCTTCCAAAATATATGTTG